GATTAAATTAGATTCTTACCCCCGGCCGATAGGAGGGAGAATCCCAAAAAAAAAAAACAAATTAAAATTATTAAATCTTAAATTAAGAATTTGTACAAAAATATGATGTTATTTGTAAATTTAGTGATATTAAAACCTATTTAAATGTTGTTACCAAATCTAATTTAACATCTTATTATTTCAAGATTCTTTTTGTGGATCTCCCGAAATAATAACTTATATGAAATAAAGCATCTCTTGATAGTATACTAGTACCGAGCAGCAATGTTTCTTTTCTTTCATGATACTACTTCCAACCTTGATATAAGAGTAATTTAATTTTTAATTTGGTTTTAAATAAAAGACTATGATATATTTTGTTTTTCATATTTATTTATTTTTTTAGGATAATTCTTGTAATAGTTGCATATGTTAAAAGTATCATCAAATAGTAATTTTAGCTAATATATATTATTAGTAAGGGTATTTTAGAAAAGACAATGTTAATTTATTACACATGATTAACTTAGTCAAATTAGTTAAACTAGCTTTTATATTAAGGTACTGAAATATCCTGAAAACGCAGAGCACTCGACCCTTTGAAAGTTTTTTGAGTTTTTTTTTTTTTTAACTCTGAAAGTTTATTTTTATAACAAAAGTATCTTTGACCGTTAAATTTTTCTTTTTGACCTGCTTTTGCTGACATGGCTGGTGAGATGGGAAAAAATTTAGACACTTGGCTGCTTGTTCCCACATCAGTCTCCTTGCTTTTTCCTTCACCCTCTCTCTCATCCTAACTACTAAACGCTCTCACCCATGTCAGCCAGCCCCACCTTCTTCTCCTATTCTCATCCCAGCAACCCCATGCCGCCACATCCCATCGCCATCGTTGAACAGAGAGATTGTGCACACCTATTGCTCTCTGATTTTTGAGGCAATTGGCGGAGTTTGTGAGGCTTAGTGTGAGTTCTTGTCAAGTTTTGTTTTTTTTTTTTCAGAAATCATTTGTGGACTGGAAAATTTACGAGTTCTTGTTGCTCTGAATTGCTTAGGGCATGCTATGTGCATCTTAGTATGAAATTAAATCAAAGTGCCGCAATGGAAGGAGGAAGAAGAATGGGAAGTGTGATTGATGATGAGAGAGACTTTAATAACCCTAATGTGACAAGAACCCACACTAATAAGACCCAAGATCTTCGATTCTCTGTCTTCCATGGCTTATTAACACCCACAATCTCCATTCATAGCTATCTGGAGAGAATCTTCAAGTACGCTAACTGTCCTTCTTGTTTCATTGTCGCTTATGTTTATCTCAATTGTTTCACCTAGAGACAACCTTCTTTACCCATAATTCCTTCAGTGTTCATCACCTCCTCATTACCAGCGTCATGGTGAAATATAGTTAAGTTTGGTAAATTTCAGGTTTCTAATATTCCCATCCATGACCGACAATATATAAAAAGGCAAACTCAAACCATAATCTTCAATTTCTTGTTCAAATCAATGTTCTTATGCTCAAATCAATGTTGAATTATGGGTTTGGGAGGGAGAAAAGTGATCGGGAAAGAACTTTCAGAGAGAGAGAATGAGGAGGAGTGAATGATGTGTGATGAACAAGCAGCCACGTGTCTAAATTTTCCCCCCAGCTCACCAGCCATGTCAGCATAAGCACGTCAAAGAAAAAAATTTAACGTTCAAAGTTAACATGTGTTGCACTTTTGCTAGAGCCGGGAAAACGGGCCGAGCCCGTCGGACCGGCCCTTTTAGGCCCTGAAATTATGAGGGCCGGGCTTAATATTTTTCTCTTAAAATGAGAAATAAGTCCTGGAGAGCTGGCCCTGGAGGGCCGAGGGCTTAAAAGGGCCGGCCCTGGAGGGCCGCGGGCCGGCCCTTTTAAGCCCTTTTATAATTTTTTTTTATTTTTTAAATTTTTTATATAATACTAATGCTATTAATTTTTTATATTGTTGATAATATTTCAAATATTTAGTTATTATTATTATTTTAAAATTAAATTTAGTTTTAGACAATAATTTATCCAATTAAATTTTTAAAAAATGGGTTAATTTAGATTTTAATAATGATTTGATTTATATTATACGCGTTGATATTTTTAAACTATATATATATATATATATTTGATAATAGAATATTTTTATACTATATAACTTGTGATTCTATAATTGAAATTAGAAATTCATGAGTTTCAATAACAATGTTTCTCACATTAAAGTAAAATAATAGTTAGATTGCAAAATTTAAAAATAAAATTCTTATAAAGAAGAAAAATTAGATATTTTTGTTACGAAAGAAAAGCATACTTATGAAGAAAAGTAATTAATTATAGTGATGATGAAGTTTCAAAAGATTAATGATAGTGTTTATTTATTACACAATTGCATTATAGATAAAACTTTTAGATGTTGTTATATTGTTAATAAATGTTTTAAATATTCTTAGATGTTGATGAATATTTATATATGATGATATTTTATATTTGTGACTTAATTTTATTCATATCTATGTCTTTTATTAATAATTTCATTGGTTTATTTTCATATTTTTATAAAAAAATATGATAAATATAAAAAATAGTATTTTTTCTTAAACGGGCCAAAAACCCGCGGGCCGGCCCTGACCCTGTAACTTAAGGGCCGGGCTTAGTAAATTGGGGTATTTTTAAAATTTCAGCCCTGGAGGGCCGGCCCTTTTAAGCCCGCCAGCCCTGAAGGGCCGGCCCTGATTCCCGGCTCTAGTCTTTTGCTGCGGAAATAAACTCCCCTCACGTTTTAGAGCCAAAAAACACTTTTAGATGCTGAGTAATTTTCGGTGTACGGTATTTTAACACATTTTTCGGCATAAAATATCTAATTTCTTGACTTTCTTCGAGTTTACATTTTCCTGGACGATTTCTGCTAATCAAAATATATACGCGAAAAACCATATCGTTAATAACTATGCAAAATTCTGGTAAAAAAAATCAAACTATGCAAAAGAAATTCTAAGGTCAGGAAAAAATCTGGGTACCAATTAAAATATATTTATTTAGTGAAAAAAACAAACTACGAGCCAAAACAAGGATTACACATGAGTGGAATGAGTCGAATGCTCTGTAAGCCAAATGTTTCAATTCCATTTTCTTCACAGACTGTCTTTCTAATTACGAATCCAATTCAACCCAACAACCCTAAACCCAATAACCCAATTTTTTCTGGCCGAAAAACTCATAACACAGTCTTTATTTGAGTCAAGTTAGACATTGGTAGAGCCGGTAATATGGGTTAGATCCACAGGTTGAACCCGCCAACCCGCCAAAAGATGCGAGTTAGGGTTGGCTTTTGGTCAACCCACCACCACCTGAAAAATATGAGTCCGCACTGTCACAACCCGAGCCCGTGACGGGTCAGCCCGCGTCAACCAGCCAACCAGCCTAATTTTTTTAAATTTTTTTATATATGTTAAAATATCGGGAGGTGGGCTGGAAAGGTAGGAAAAATTTATGTTTGAACTTGTGTTTTATCATGTTTGGAATTTGAACTATGGACAATTGTATATTTTGTGTTTTAATGTGTTGTAATTTTGTCTGAATGCTTGGAATACTTTAAATCATTTCTGATTTTTTTTAATTTTTGATTATTTATAAGAAAAAATTTAAAAAAATCTGGCAGGTTGGTGGGTTGACCTGCCAACCCACATTAGTGGGTTAGGGTTGGCAGAACACCAACCCACCAGAAAATGAGTCTTTTGAGCCCGACCCAAATAACCCGTAGCCCGTCACAAGCTAACCCGCAAGCCGTGGGTTAGCCTGTTTTACTAGCCCTAGCATTTGGGCCATATTCCTAATAATTTTTCAATTTTTTCAAATTATATACCATGCTTATTCAATGTAAAACAAATAAATTACTTCTCCGGTCCTTAATATAAGACCAATTTAACTAATTTGATTAGATTAAGGAAGTTAGGTACGTTAGTTAATTATAAGAAAAATGACACATTTTTCCTAAAATACCATAATCATCTTTCTTAATACCTCATCTCCCTCTTTTATTTGATTATGGTTGATGGAGTATCTATAGGGGTAATTTAGAGAAAATTGATAAATATGAGAAATGGATCTTATATTTAGGACCAAAACTAACTCAAGAATTGGGTCTTATATTAAGGACCGGAGGAGTATATAATAAATAACTTAAAGTAATGAAATGAAAATACCACATGGGAAAAATCTGTTTTATTAATTATTTTTTTAACAAGCAATATATTTTATTAAGACCTATTTGGAATGAGTTATAAACAATCTTTTAATCATACTTTACAAAATATAAAGTGTTTGAAAAAAAATTTCTCAATTTACATGAAAATACTTTTAAACACTTAATAGACGCTAATTTAAATAGACACTTAAAACTCATTTAGAATGACTTACAGGCATATTTTCAATTGTAATTTACAAAATACAAAGTGAGCATATGAGAAAAATTTGTCTCGACTTAAATAAAATATGCTTATAGGTGCCTTGTCGAACACATTTATTAAAACAAAAGGAGAATTTTTACTGAACCTAAAACACTCCTAAAGTTACCAATTGGGGTTGGGGTGACAAAAGAAACTAGTTCCTCACAACATGATTAATCAAAATTCGAACTCCCGTTAGGAGAAAGGCTCACATTTAGTATCTGATAATACCTCAAACAAGATTACCTCCAATTGATAGATACCTATGCTTTAACCCAAAAAAAAAAAAAAACACTTCTAAGGTTGGCAGAAAAACAAAAAAAAATCCATGAAAATAATTTGAAATCCGATGCAACCATTTTCTAATACTGCCGGGTTGAGGCATGTCAAATAAATTTTAAAATTTTATAAATGATATACTATTCCTATTTAATATATAACATAATTGAAAAAAAATAAATTATATAAAAATAATTTAAAAATCATATAAAAAATAAAGATACTGAAATGAAAATACCAAACGGGGAAAACGTCTATTTTATGAATCTAACACAAAAAAGGGAGAATTTTTACCAAAATCAAATAACAGTTTTCTACCATATTTTCTGTATGAAAACAAGTCTTCTTTCCCAACTCATCCCGTGACTCAATACCTCTAACGCGGCTCATTCATCAAACTACACAAAACACAGATACCTAATATTTAGTAATAGAATAAAATACATGATACCTACTATCTAATAAGCATCTCTTCTAATGACTCCATTAGTTACATATGCTTCTGGTACATCCTTCTGAAAATTCTTGCACCTTCCAATTCTGCGTGAATCTCTCTCTCGGTCCTTATTTCCATGGGGTTGCTTAATAGCCATCCTTCACAGTCGCACAACATGCTTGGGTTCACAGCATCGATATGTTGAAGTGCTTCAACTTCATCAAACTGATCTCTCATGTCAAGTGCCACTTCAACAACATCAGATTGGATAAGAACCTGCTCAAATACAACCACAAATCTGATTTTAAGCCAGAAATTCAGCCAATAACTGAAATTTTTCAATCGTTGAAAATCATATCCTCCAAAAGGCCTGTTTGGTATACCAATGTGAATTGTGAAGTGTCTGTCATTCTCCTAAGAAAATTATACACACTGTCCGGTATGTTCATATTATCATTACCCCAAAATGTGTCTCTTTATTTCTCAATAGCACCTCAAGAGTCATTTTCCCGCTACTTTTTTCATTTCCCCTTTCATAATTGTGTTTCTGTCAACCACTTTCTTCTACAAATAAATGTATATGGGAAGAAAAGGGGAACATGTAATGGGAAATTGGGAATGGATCACATTTGAATCATGAATACAGGCATGCTGAACCACGATCGATAAGAAATTCAAATGAAGAATCAGTCATCAATGAAAATTTAAAAATCATCTCAGCATCGTTAAAGAAGATAGAAAGATATCATGCATTTTCCATGAAAAAAGTCTAGATACGCCAAATTTTTAGTCACAGTTTTCATGCCAGCGCAGATGGCAAGTAATATTTGAGTGCAGGATTGCATTAGTTAAGGTGGGGCCGGCAGCAATCAGGGGCAGCCATAGGTGCAGATTTGAAGAAGTATAATGCAAGTGGTGGGGGGCAACAAGCTGCAGGGTTTCAATCTAAATCCTCAAGAAGCTTCTGAGACTTCCTCAGGACCATCCAACATCTCTTCCTTTCTCTATCGTCAACTCCTTTATCATGCTCGTATGTCTCCTAACATGCGAATGAAAAATTTCGAACCGAGAACATCCCTTCCCTTGCCCACGTAATCCTACTCTTTTTTTCCCCTAGGTAGTTTCATCAAATTGAGAATCTTAATTCATTTCCGAAATTTACATGTTGATATTTTAATCCTCAACTTCGAGCCTATCCAAAACATCAAACTGCATAAGAATATTCCTCTTTTTTAATCCAATATCTCCAGAAACCCCCCCATACTCCCAATCTTCAAATGTCTCCTCACAAACTTCAGCTTCCTCATAAACTCTTAAGACCTATTTCCCCCAAACCTGGGACAGAATACTCTTCCCACTAGGTTTAAACTCGATTGAAAAAAGAGTGGTCCTAATCCACATGTTCTCAAATCTGAAATGGAGTCAGATCCCTCTTCAACCTGCCAGATCTAAGTGGAGGGATACGATTAACAAAAGACTTAGAAGAGTCTCTCTAATCAATCTGGGGAGAGAACCCTCCCGCACAGAAGTAACCAAGCACCTATCTTATCAAACAAGACATCTTCACGTATATTAACAATCCAAGTGAATCGCCTCTTGGCTGACATTTTGTTTTTGTTTTCCCCGGGGCTTATGCACTTTCTTATAAAAGACAAGTTGGGATTTTCTTAGGTGAGTGTGATGTATTGTCTTCCTTCCAATTAATTACCAAAAGAGAAAAAACAAAAAAAGGTTAATCAAACATATTATAGAAGGCATCACCAGTAAATCACAATCTCAAATAAAATAACCAAAATCTCTCATACCAACGGCATTTGAGTAAGGATGTCACTTGCAACTTTATTTCTCTCCCAGATTTATCCAGCTGTTAAATTAAGTTTGGCATGGAAAATTTGTGGATCTTGGACTCTCAGCTGTCCCTCTCATTCCCTCAATGACTTCAGTGAATTAACTTTTCCTAGCCCACCTGACCCTTATTAGTGCTGATGAAAGAACAGGCATAGGAAAAGGACCAAATCTAAGATCACCACTGTTCCACAAACACCCAAAGAAACACCATCACCGCAACCATGTTCTACAAATTATTAAACAAACCCACCAAGAGCTCCATCACTTTCCTTCCTAATTTTATCCTCTTTTTCCACTTGAAACACTCATTTGCAATCTATGTTATGAGGACACATTCCTCTGCATCAATGTTCAATCCGTAAAATTATCCTTAAAAAAAATCCTTTTCTAAATTGTCAGAGAGATCAGAAGATTATGATCCTTCAAAGTCCATAACAGGCATGTATTCTCCTGCTATTTTAGACCTTGGCTTAACTTCTATCACGCTCTCCATTTTCCATTGAAATCAGACCCTTTGTACTTGCGGCTTCTCTTTTTCCAGAAAATGGAATACATTTCACAGCTTGTGCAAAATTCCTCAGTTCGCTCGTTCTTTGTATCCTAGAATTTGATCTCCATAGAATGATCCCACACCCCAGGCCCACACATTGACACATCCAAGTGGTGACTCGATAATTTTGGCCTGTTCCTGCCTGTACCCAGCAGATGCTAATTGTCTCAAGCATGGCGATAACTAGACCATTGAACCACACATCATGGCTAAGTAGATTCCACGTTCTCTCTTGTCAGCATCCATGCCTAACCTTTTCAAACTTCAAACTTGTCCTTCACTAATAACTGATCCCTACCCCCCACCCCCCACCCTAAAAAATAAATAAATAAATCACCAAAATAACCGCAACTCATTTTCAAAGATCACAGTGAACGGTCGATAGATTAATGCCTATTAGTTACTCCTCTGGTTTTATTTATAAGGCACTTTCAACTTGTTTCACACAAACTAAGAAAAATCTTAAACTGCATTAATTCTGCACTAAAATATAAAAAATTTCCAATTTTATCCTTATTTAATATATATACCCTTAAAAAAAATAACTATCTATACTCTAATAAATAAAGTATCAAATAGTACATTCATGCTAAAAATTTAATGAAGTGACTTATAAATAAATAGGACCAAAACATTTCTTCTCTCCCTATAAATAGAACCAGAGAAGTACATAACAACAAATAATTTTCATGAAAAATCATTTAAGAGAGGTAATTTTGGCAGGAAGCTATTTAGTAAACCATTGGGTAACCCTGTGGAGCATACAGTTGTTAGGAATCATGCAAAACACGTGCAAACAAGCACATATATACCTGTCCCCCCGGCACCATCATCTCTGCAATAGCACCAACCAAAGGCTTCTGTACAACTCTTCTTTTATGATGTCTCTTCTTGAAATGTGGGTCTGGGCACTGTATTTGTGAATTAAAATTATAAGATTGCAATTGAAAAGAGTTTCAACTTAAGTTATTAACCAAAACATTTTGGACCAAAGCCTTCCAAATCTAAATATAAGGAGTCAAATTGATCCTAGCATGAGGAGACACTCACCAAAATTGAAACAAACTTCAATGGCCCAGGATATGATGTAACCAAATGCTTGAAGGAAATCGTGGCATTTGCAAACAAGAAATGACTGCATTTCAGGCAAACAGTCAATTAGACAAAAATTAAGCATCTCCTTTTCTTAAATCAGCATTCAAACAAAGTTGTGGCTGGTACATGTTATTAAGAGCCAGATCTTTTACCCATACCTCAGCACGCTTGACCAACTGCACATGAATGGAATACATTATAACACCATATAGTTGAAGCTAAAGGTGAAATCAAGTAAAATCCTTTAAAAGGAAGAAATCATCAAAAGAATTCCAAAGCAGAAGTATGTTTACCAAAAACAAAAGTTTTCCTAACCTTTTGCCTTATTTCCAACCCCAAATAATTTCTAACTCCAGGATTTCGTTTAGCAAGCCATAAAAGAAGCCTGCCACTACCTGAGAATACTCACAAATTTCAGATGCACAGAAACAACAGTGTACCTTCCAAGTACTGACATAATGATTTGATTACCAGAAGAAAATTGAAATTGCTTATGATGAGAAGAAAATTAACAAAATGATAAACATATAGTCCAACAATATATCAGAAAAGGGAAAATCCCTATTTTATTATCTATCATATGAAAATGCTTTTCCTAAGGATTCTCTTAAATAGAAATAGAGATCGAAGTAACTAGGGAAAAAAAAAAAGATTGTTCAAATCCGCCTCTTCTAGATTCTAGAGGGATCATCCTACTTGCATACTATGCATCACGTCTAAATACTAATAATTGACAACAGCTACTGCAAGCAGATTTTATGACAGAAGCAAACAAGCTACCACATCCAATGTCAACCATGAGTGGCAATGTTGGGTCACTGAAGACTTGATTCCAGTCCGGAGCTTGTGTGGGTACCTATCAAGAAATAGAAACATTTAAAAACAAAATCCCATACCAAGAAAGTAACGTAAGAATCCAGTTAAATTCTTATGATATTGGAAAAACCAAGAAGTTGCCAATTATAAGTAGGATGCTGTGACCATTCAGCCAAGGTGACATCCTCGTATATGTTGAACAAATCAAATTCTAATCAAAATAAAATTCTTAGGATAAATTAATGCAATTTAAAAGCAGTCAACAAGAGCTTATCATTTGCAATCTTGAATTTCAAATTAAGAGAAACCAAGAATCTTCAATATTTCTTATTCATTCAGATGCAAGATGCAATTCCACAATTTGAAGTCCTGCGTCATGCAGCTACAGGGCTCAACAATCCATGTAAAACTCGTCATAGTGGGAGCCTGTGTGTGTATTACAGACATAGATGTATGATAGGTTTACTGGGTCATTTAGGTTGACACCAACCTTTACATTCAAATTAGAATTATTCCAATATCTCAACACCTAATGTGAAAAGATGCTAATGACACATTTTATTGACTTTTAATCGCATGTTGTACTTTTTAAAATCTGAGTCGGTACACCTGTTGATTCAACTTATATGAAAATCATAAATGCCTGTAAAATCAGTTAAAAATATAATGGAATGGATTGCTGGAGTTCACAAAAGAACATACAGAGAAAGAGGAACTTAAGGGATTGACATGTTGCCTGATTCTCACAGGACCCAAGTCCTGCGTTGGATATATAGTAAAACAACAGAATATTAACCCTGAAGTCATTAAAAAGAGAATCAAACGAAAACCCCTCTGATCTCAGCAAAATTAAACTAAAGATAAAATTACCAACTTGTACGAAAGATTAAGATCTGCATACTCCAATGCCACCAGTTCGGGGCTACTCAAATGCACTTTATTAGAGTCATTTTCTGCTACTTCCGCAGCAGGAAAATCGTTGCGGCTACAGTAACAGTGTGAATGACAACGAAGCGAGGACGAAGGATGAAGAGAGAGTGAAGTTTGCAGTATTAGCGACGAAAGAGCGACTCTCGCAGCCCTGCGCGGCACCGAACCACCTGCGCTACGATGGGAAGTGCAGTTGTGTAGCTGCAACCAACGGGATGAAGCCATCAGCTATCGGTACTCCCATTGAAATTCTTGTCTTCATCGGATAAATTTCTATTTGAACCGGGATGATTTATTTAAATAGATTGGATAAATTACACAAAATTTTCGCCAAATTTTGAATTTTAGATGAACAACTTTGTTAGCCTTTAAAAGTTAATAGACTTCAACAGTTCAACTATTAACCAAAAATTTATTGTGAAATTTTAAAATTTAATGAGATTACCTAGTTAGACCCAACCTTTTTTTTTTTTGGGATACATGAGAAGGCTTAACGCCTAATAATAAATAAAAGGTTAGACATAGGGATGGGGATTAAAAAGGTGTTTGGGAACCATGGAAAATGCTTTTTAAATACTTTTCTATAAATTGAGATAAACTCTTCTATATATTTATTTGATATATCATAAAATCATTTTTAAAACTATAATTTTCATTCCATCCAAATATCTCTTAAATCTCATATACTTGTGTTATATTAGGATCCTCAAATTAGAAGGGCACACTTCCAAAAGAGAAGACTTTGCAATCCGTTCCTTTGCAGGTTGATCAGCTATTTAACTTGTAGCACTTTTAGCAAGCCATCGAAGAAGATATCTAGCCTTCCCATGCTTTTGTACAGGGATGAGCAAAACCGAACCGTAACCGAAAACCGAACCGAACCGAATTTAATTTCGGTTTTTCGATTCGGTTATTTCAGTTTCCGGTTACATATTCGGTTTTTATTTTTGTAATAATTCGGTTTCGGTGTTCGGTTCGGTTCGGTTAGTAGGAAAAAAATCAGTTATAACTGAAAAAACTGAAATGAATATATTATATATTTATATTTAATAAATGTTATTATAATAAATATATATATGGGTTTATGAGAACTCTTTAAATATATTTATATTCAATAAATATGGTTATAATAAATATTATTGTAATAAATCACATTAAATGATGAAATATTTATTAATTAATGGTTGTAATTGTGTTTTATTATTATTATTATTAATTTAAAATCACTTTCATATTTATATATTTCGGTTAATCGGTTAACCGAACCGAAATAATTCAGTTAATTTAGTTTCGGTTAGTTCGGTTATCGGTTTCGGTTCAGTGTTTAAAATTTGTTCTATTCGGTTATTCGGTTAATTCAGTTATTACTGATAATCAAACTGAAAAACTGAATACTCACCCCTATTTTTGTAACCCATCTCACTAATACAGGCAATCACAATCCAGTAGCCCCGATTCTTTGACCCAATCCAATACATTGAAATTACAAGTATAATCCTCCTCATTTTCCTTCATATTCTTTGGGAAAAAAACCATTTTCGAATTTTTTTTCTAAATTTTTAATTTAGTACCAATATATTTTTTTCTTAATTAAATTTTTAATTTTACTCTACTAACAAACTAACGTTACTCTGTCAACAACATTATTCTCCATATAAGAATTAATAGTGTTGAAAGAAAAAATTTAAAAATTTAATTAACCAAAAAAAATCACATAAGTATCAAACTAAAAATTAAGAAAAAAATGTAGGTACTCTTAAAATGATTTTAGCTCTTTCGTTCAAAGCCTGTTGCTAGTGTAAGGACCTTTGTTCAAGGTTGTCAACAAAGCTTTCTATTCTCTAAATTGATATTCTATCCAATCCCTCTCAAAAAGAGCTCGATGATCGATTTCCCATTTTTCCTGCTAAGTTCAAGAAGTATTTTCTTGCTTTGTGTACACCTTAAATAATACTACGATCATTCTTTAATATATGAGCTAGTTTGACATTAAATTTAATTCTAAATATAAAACTTTAATCCATTTTGTTTCTCATATTTATCTTTTTTCTTAAATAGTCATTACCATAGTTGCACATATTAAAAGTTTTATTAAATGGTAGTTTTAACTAATACATATGATTAGCAATAGTATTTTAAAAAAAATAACACTTATTTATTACAAATAACTAATTTAATAAATTTTCTTAATTTACTCAAATTAGTTAATCAATCAGTTTTTATATTAAAGACAAAAAATACAAATTTGTTCTCCTGTCACACCTCTTCTTTCAGTAGATTATTTTCTTCAGGGGTTTCCTTCTATATTTCTTGGTGATCATGACATCTGTAAATTTGGTTACCCAAAATTGGCGTGTTAAGAAAATCAATGATACTCTTGAGAGGATGCCATGTGAGGAAAACAAATTGAAAACAAAAAGAAAGGGTACGAGTGTTCAAACTATGATCTTAAATGGGGAAAACCATTTTATCGGTACATATAGTTTCTCTTAGTTTTTAATTTGATACCTGTATGATTTTTCCTTTTAATTAAACACTGTAATTTTACAATACCGTTGGCCCCTATAGTTTTGTTGTTAGTACTGTTAGTTCCTATCCTAAACCTAACTATGCTAACAGAACAAAATTATAGTATTTAATTAAAAAAAATACATATGTATCAAATTAAAAATTGAAGAAATATATAAATACCTCCAAAATAGTTTTTTGTCTTAAATGCAGGGACGAGAACAAAAGTTTGTGTGATTCACATATTTATTTATGGTAATAATTTTCTTTTGCTCGTGAAGTCATAGAAAGTTCTCTACCTCAACATACAGTGGAAAACTAAGCAAGAGAACATGCCATTAGCCTTCTTAAAATCTGCAAATCAATGTACTACCTCAACCGTTGGAGACTTTTGAAACGTCCTTACTTTTACCTCTCAGAGTACACGATCGAAAACGAAATGGAACATTCAAATCATAATTTAAGCCCAAAAATTAAAATTTTCTTTTAAGTCCTCAGTATTGTTCACTGTGCATATTTCCAGATTACAGGTTCAACTTTAAAAAATCATAATTAATTCTACAAATATCGTACGGAGGTGCTCCAAATTTCTATTTGAAGCTCTTTCAATGCTCTTCAAGGAAAAAATATAAAAATGGACTTATCCGTAGCCAATTTGTACAGTTTATTATCTAAATTTTACTGTTCATTTGATTTAATCTAGAACTTCCAGATTCTGTGCCTCAGCTTTGAAAAATCATATCTCCTTGTATACATATCCAATTGAGGTAGTCTACTTTTCATTTTAAAGCTTGGGACATACTATATGCCTGCCAAAATTCGTGGCTTAATCCATTCATTTGATAGGTCAAACTGGAGCTAGAAGCTGACTACTCCAGGACCTATGTTTTATCCCTTATGCAATTCTTACTTTAATTCTTTTAAGAATCCAAGCACGTATAACTTGGTCTTACTCTTTCTCATTCATTCGATAAACATTCTAATCAATTACATTGTATCATTGGCATCTATAAACATAATTTATATAATAGGAGAATTATACATTAATCCTTAGTCTCATTCATTGACATCAATAATTTTCCACCTTCTTCTCCTTCCTTCTCATGCTCCCCTTCATGCAATCATTGCCCATCATTGATTGCCTTAAAATGGTGGGTTAGAAAGGGGTGAGATTCGGGAGAATCTCAATAACAAACATTACATATTAATCATGCTAGATAGATGCTAATACATGATATGCAACTTGCTTATTCTCTTGTTAATTAGTAACATATTAACATGCTTAATGGTATCTACTTAATGCATGGTCATGGAGACATAATCTACTCATCGTAAATAGCAATTACAATAGTCAAAACATGTCACAGCATCAACCAATCATCATGTACATATTAATACACAAGCATACAACATCAAGCAATGTTAATAGGTAAGTTCACTACCTTGCACTTCAAGTTTTTCTTATATTCTTGAACCTGTTCCCTTGACCTCCCAACCAACTAGCTTTCAGTCAGCCTGATATGATATTATAATAAATAAATAACAGAATTATGAGTTAGTTAGAATAATAGTTAGTTACTAGCAGCTGGACTTTGCCTATATAAACAGGCTTATCTCTCATTTGTAAGTGTGCTGTATTGTGATCAACCTAGTGGAACTCTCTTTCTCTTCCGTCTATTGCCTTCTACTCTCTCCCCCTTCTCTCAAAGTTTCCCTATTCTCTCTGTTTCTCTTCGCTTTCCCTTCTCTCTCTCTCTCTTTCTTTACTTTTCATAACAGTGGTATCAGAGCCAGTCTTTCCTCGGCCCTACCCACTACTCGGTTCTTTCTCCCTCATTCCCAATCAATTTCAAGTTCCATGGAGGAACGTCTCCTCAACATCGAACAAAAATTGAATTCAGTCAATGGAATACAAGGCTCTGTCAATAAATTAAAAGAGGCCCTTCTTGACTTGTCCACGGAGCTGCAAGAAATCATAAGACAAAAGGACCTGCTCCGTCTTCGACATCGAGGGTCCTTGGCAGAATTTAATTCTGAATTTGACGCAATTTCCTCCAAAATCTCATTGCCTGAAGAATGGTTGGTTGATGCTTATATCTCGGCGCTGCAAGAAGACTATGCTGGACCAGTACGTCTATTCATGCCTCGGACGATGCGCGAAGCCAAAAGCCTCGCTAGAATGCAGGAGCTCACTTTGCAATGGAAGCGCAAGAAGCCCGAGGCCCAAGAGGTATTCTTTGAAATGCAAGAATCGTCCAGTGTCAACGGCCTGTTAGAAACAATCTCACCCAAGAGGGGGGTGAATTGGGTGAGTTACAAAAATTTACAATAAAAAACGTGTCAGTATTGAATAAAAAACAGAGAGTCAGAGTATGGAGAAATTTAACCGCAGAGAGGAGACACAAGATTTATACTGGTTCGGTCTAAATCACGTGACCTACTTCCAGTCCTCAGAACACCTCTGAGTATTTCACTATTTTCCAAGATCGACAGGGCTCTTGGTGCCTTGGTACAGTAATTGAATCGCTCAATCACTCCCCCTTACTCCCGTAAGGACACAACCCCTCTCAAGAGTCCACACTCTTGAGTGTCACTCAAGTTTTTAATAAGAGTAGTAATTGGCTCTCTTACAGAGTGAATTTAATGATAAACACCGATGCTCGGTAGTAACGTGAAAACAAAGTATTGAATGCTAAACTAAATAATCGCAGGTGGTAGTTCCGGTATTCAATCTC